ATCCGCGATAATTTTTAAGATGCAAGCGCACCAAGCGGCGAAAGCAGTAAGCTCCGAAACAAGGTAATTTTGACATTGCCGTTCGCGTTTACACATTCATTTGAACAACATTTGTCTTATTTGCCATTATTATTAGTAATTTTGTTATCAAACTGCGGTTATTTCACTTTTGTGTTATTTTATAGGTTTCAAAAATTTCATAAATAAATTTTAAGGCAAGTATTTATGTCTACTTTATTTGTCTCTAGCATTACAATGTAATGTACATTTTATTAAGTTATAACTATGAACTTATCCGTTGTGGAATACATTTCCTATTTACATATATGCTAACGAAAACTCTCGTTGTATATTAGAAGGAGAGGCAGTTTTTAAGGCTGATCATGTGGTACTATATGGGAGAATTGAGCAAAGTTAATTTAAATTTAGAAAATTATATTATGTCTGCAGACTAGTGCCCTTATTTACTAACAACCCTCATGAAATTCAGGGAGTATTATCTATCGGCAATAATATTTTGAAAATTTCTTCAATGGTTTGATGAAAACTTAATTCTGGATTTTTCTTGGACCATGAAGAGCAACCTTGAACTGAACAATAATAGTTTGACAGTTTCTTCTTTCTTTCCATAATTGCTGAAATTTTCCTCACACTATTTTCTTAAAATAACAACCTTCAAAAAACGAACATTAAATTCAGTTTTAAATAAAATACAAAACGAAATGTCACACACAGAAGAAATATTTACCTTGTTTCGCTAGTGTCACTTGTCACCGCCAGAGGGCGAGCTCTTAGCTGCATTCGCGAATATAATATAAGTATTATTATACGCTTGAAGAAAAACATATTTTAGGTATTGTTTACGACATACTGTGCTTACCTTATTTAATGGGTTATAAGGAGCTGCTATAGTCAAACTTTCATTATTTTATTTATGACGACATAGATAGTTCGAGAGGTACATGATTTGGCACAATATCATTAATTATTATACAATCACTTTACTAAAATTTAAAATAAACTATACTTGCTGATAACATTTTAGAAAATTAAATACCTGTCAATACTTACACAAAACGTTTGAATTTAATGAAAATATATGGTTTATTTAAAGTCTCAAATGAAGGTCATGAATAAGTTGATCATTTGATTAATGATAACGATTAATATCATTATTCCAAAAATAATTTGTTGTCATAACAGTTTCACCAGTATACAATGTTTTATCATTTGAATTATTTTGTCTATAAATCTGAGATTATAATCTGAAATCAGAACAACCAAACGTAAAGTTTTAAATTTAACCATTCAGCTGCTGCTTTTTCATATTGTAATCTGAACATATTGGACGAAAGAATTCGCCTTGCCTCAAAAACGGTGAATCCTAGTAGCTGCGTAAAAACGCACTTTTCTAAAAGAGTTGGACCAATAAGATTTAATCGAGTGTCCTAAATACCATCGATAGTTTAAGATAATGGTTGCCAATTCGAAATGCCATTGAGGACAATTAGGTGTAGAAAATATTGATCTCTAGGTTTGTCTGTTAAACATTTTGAAATTACAAGGTATGGATTTGTCTGATGGTACAATTAATTGTAGGAATTTAAAGTGATATCTGATATCAATTCAAAGTTGCAAACCTGACAATGGATTGTTTTCTTTCAGAACTGTATCTCTGCCAGAAATATTTTATATGCATTAGGTTCATAATTAAGATAGTTTAAAAACTAAACTAATAAGCAAACAGTCAATTTTTTGAGTATTTTTAATTTGCTTCAAATGACAAGAAGGAACTAACTCATATGTTTGAATCACTGTACAACCAACTCTGTCGCAGTCGCCCTAACATTTCCGATCTCTTCGAATTATAAGTCAATTGAACAGCCTCAAGTTTTACATTTGGTATTTTTTTAGGTTTCACTGCTTTAAAAAATGTAGACTATAAAAGGAACATTTATTTAACAATTAATTACAACTAAATAATGATTCCATTACGCATTTTTCGGTAATAAATTTTCAGGCTGAAACTCGATCACAGACCTCACTGTAAGTTCCTGAACCTGAAAAATAAAAGAAAAATACATGTTTAGTTTTGAAAAAAAAAACAGTTAAAGGTGCAATTTTGTAGAGATACTTTTAATGACGAATCTCATCCATTTGTTAAGCGTAATAATATTTGGAGGGGTTTTAACTTAAAAAAATTATCACCTGCACGTGGGGAGGCGTCGACAAAGCATAGACCACAGCATCGGCAATATTGTCAGCTTCGATCATGAGCTTTTCTTCGTTCTTTTGAATCAGTTGCTTCATATTATCTGGTATTATCTCAGTATCCACCGGACCTGGACTGAGATTCTGGAAAATAAAGTTGTCTTTAAAGGTTGTTGTAATTCCATCTAAGTGTAAAGATCACAGCGATAGAAACACTGATTGAGGGGAAAAAAATCATAGTAAAATTACAATATATGGGAGAAAAATTGAGCTACATTATTAGAAAATAGTCAGAATGCCACAAGAAAAGACCAGTGCATAGCTGTTACCGACGGTATTGTCATGTAAAAAAGTGGAAATGCAAAATGCTGAAGAGAACCGAGAAAAGGATAAATAACTGAGGGTAGAAGAAAGAGGACAATGCTCTATGAATGTATTTTAAAAATAGCTATAACAATTAATTGTTTTAAATGAAATTAGTCATATTTTTAAAACGTAGTCGTCTCTGTTGATGAGTATTGTCTATATACAACTAAATTTTGTATAGAGAAAATCATATCAGTAGTGGAGCATTTACATTTAAACCAGGGCGAATCTGTCGAATCTGTCCACTTCTTGGATGTACGAGGGGGCAAGCTAATTTTTACTGGAATACCTTCAATACAACTCACACAAATAAAAGTGTAGATCCCTAGATCTGTGCGAGATCCGGAACATTTTCAAAATTGCAAAATATATTTAAAAATTTTTTAAAAATACCTGTTTTATCGGAGTTTTTTACTTATATCTTGGAACTTATGCATTTTAGAAGAATATTGAAAAGGAAAAAAAGTTTTAGAATACAATTTTGCACGATATAGTGTCAGTTAAAATGTTTAAATTTATTACCGATGTTGCAAAATAGCAATAATTGATGAAAGAAAGGCAAAATATTCAAGTTTTTTTTGATAATTTTTTTAAAATATTTTAATTGCTCCGAGGCCGTTCTAATTTTGGTAAAAATAACTTTAGAATATAATGAAACAACACACCAACTTTCATTAAAATCGGTTCAATAGTTTTTGCAAAAAATGTATTTTGAAAAAAAATTTTCGAATTTTCAAAATATTGCACAGCCTCAAATAAAGCATCTAGATACTTGAAAATTTTTTCACATAGAAAAGACCGCTCACCCTTTCAAATGGCTTTTGAAAAATTGAAATCGGTTGATTAGAAAGGCCACAGTAAATTTTTAAAGTTAACACTCTTTTTTTATGTGTAAACAATTAGATTGCATTTATCAGTTTGCAATTTAGTTTTTTCAAAAATTATAAATTTAAAATATTCGGAGACGCTTTAAAAAAAAAGTTAAATTCCGTTTATTGGTTCTCGAGATTTAAGCGATCACAGTTTATCGGCATTTCCCATTAATTTATAAACAATTTAGCAATAATCTTTGATCTAGTGCCTTCGTTTTTCCGAGTTCTAAGCTGGAAAAAAATTTCATATCGATAAGTTATCGGCAACATAGATAAATCAGCGAAAAAACTGTCACTCGCACGCGCGAAAAGTGACTAAAAACACGAAAAGTGGGGGAGGGGGCTTTCGCTACTAGACTGAATTCAGAGGTTCAAAATGCGAAGGTACAAAAAAAATTGCATTATCTCGGCTTCTAATGGACCAATTTCGATATTTTTTTTAATTCTGTCTCGCGAGCCAAGGAATTCGAATATCATAATGCCAACTGTTTAATTTACACATATTTTGTTATAAACAAAGATTGTTATTTATGCATTAAATATACTGTATATTTTACCCTATGCTATTGGATTTTTTCAATAAAAAAATTTGTTAACGTTTATATTTCAACATTAGTTATAATTATTACAATTATTTAAATAATTTTTGCTTAAGCAAATTAAAAAATATTTTTATTTGTAAATTATTTTTTTTTTTTTGTTAAATACAGATAAAATTAAGAAAACATTATAATTTTTGAAAAAAACTAAATTGCAAGTTGATAAATGCAATCTAATTGTTTAAAAATAAAAAAAAGTGTGGTAACTTTAAAAATTTACTGTGGCCCTCCTAATCAATCGATTTCAATTTTTCAAAAACCATTTGAAAGGTTGAGCGATCTTTTCTACGTAAAAAAATTTTGAAGTATCTAGATGTTTTATTTGAGCTTGTGCAACATTTTGAAAATTCGAAAATTATTTTCAAATTATTATTTCTCATAAAAATAGAAAAAATTTTAAATTTTAAATTGTATTATATTGCATTATTTATATCTATTATTGAAAATAGTTGTGATTAATATTTTTTGAATTAATTTTGATTATATTTATAAAATTAGTAATAAATATAATAAAAAAACTTTATATATTAAAATTTCAGGAAGTTAAAATTGTAATTTTATCGACCNAATCGCGGAGGAAAAATGTGGTAGACTCGTCAAAACGAAGCTCCTCAGGAGTTATAAAGTATGTGGTAATCAACTTTCCAGGGGGGGCCTGTACTGTGGACCATATGTTTTACGGAAAAATCGTATAAGAAACTTTTGGACATTTTTTTAATTTCTCTTGTAACAAACGCGAAAGTTGCTAGTTTGTGAGGAATTTCTCAAATAAATCAATTTGTCGAAACTAACCTCACAAAAAAAATTCCTGCAAGTAGTTCCGATTACATTAGTAAAAAATTACGATTTCCAAGAGTTTCTGTAAGCTATCTGAAACTCTGTAAACTTATAGAAAGTTACAGATTTGCTTATCGACCCAAAAAAATATTTCTATTTATGTATTTTTTATTTCAGTAGTAATACTTTAGTCTGTAATAATACTGTTTATTATTTTACGCCCTTTAGCATACGTCCGTGAGTGCAGCCTGAATTTAATGGGCAAAAATCATTGTCAAATAAGAGCCACTGAAAATATGTTACATAGTACAGCTATGGAATTTTTGCCAGAATTAATCTATTCCCATAAGTCCATGTTCCACCAATATCTCTACAGTGGCAGCCCCAATGCCTGAACTGACACCGGTGACTATGGCGACTTTGCCAACCCAACGATCCATAGACAGCACCATTGTAGCTTTTATTCGAATCACTTACCACAACTGAGCGTTAAAATATTTCCTGTCTATTTATATTTTCTAATACATTAGAAATTGCAGTGGGATAACGATAAGATGTTAGTGAATTATTTAATCTTGATATATCTCCGTCCTCACTTGAATAGAATGATTGAGAAAATAGCAAAACGAGTTGCTGCGTTTCCATAGAACTTCAGCTACCCTACTAATAAATCCAGGAGCTGTTATCACAACTTTAAAAATGCGTGGTGGATGTAAATATTCAACGTTAGCTGAATGCTACATTGATGAGTCCATAACTCATAAATAAGTTGTTAGCAAAAAAATTCTCTATTGCAAATACATCAAGTGCTGGAAGTGATTTTGTAAATAATTCAACCACTTTGGAGGATTCAATTGTTCATAAACCATCTACTAGTGAAAACACTTCTACCTGCATCAAAAATGATTATAATGCCTAGGCAGTAAATGTGACACTTTAGTGCCTAACAGCTGTCACTAAAACTACGCCTTTAATGTCGATCGGAGAAAATAGTATATTATGTTACTAGGAGTAGAAGGCGATCTTTATGTGTTGAGCCCAAAAGTTTGCTCGCCGAGGCGTTAGCCGAGGCTGAGCAAATTGGGCAAAACACATAATGAGCCTTCCACTCCGAGTGACATATACTATTTTTTCTTCAAGCGTGAATATAAAAAATTACTAATTTTGAAAATTTATAGCGGATAACGCGATGTTCAATCTCAGCACAAAATAAAATCAGTAGGTAGGTAATACTATTTATTTTATACATTTTATACATTTTATTGATTAATTAAACATGACAGTTTTAACCACTTTATTCATGAATAAAAAAACAAATGTAACAATTATTTTTCTTTAATTTGAATTAAACGAATAAACATCTAAATTACCTACATGTCTATCATCAAACTTTATTTATTAACATGAATATTAAATGTGCAATTTTGTATGGTACAGTTGTTGATATTTAAAGCGCTGCTGGCTGTCTTTTTTTCAAAGTTTACAGTTCTGTCGTTGAATACGTTACTTGTAATAAGGTTCTCAGTTTCAGTGTTAACAATTGTACCATTATTAACAGAAAAGTCTTCGATTAAATTATTTTCAGGATCAATATTTACAGTTTCGCTTGATGTACTTGGTTCATTATACTCTAATGGGTTTAATATTTTCATCGCTATCTGTTTCTTATTGTTTACAGAATCTTCAATGTATCCTTCAGCGACGCTGGTAGATTTCCATCCACCATGTCNTACCATCGACTCCTCCACACATATCGGAGAAAGCAGAAAATGCAGTTCAAAATATTTTACCCCAAAAATCTAAGAAAGTGTACGAAAAACTTTATCAACGGTTTATGGACTGGAGAAATACAAATAATATTTCGACATTCTCCGAAAATGTTTTAATTGCTTATTTTCAAGAATTGATGGAAACTATGAAATCATCTAGTACATGGACACATTATTCAATAATAAAAACGTTGGTAAATATAAACCATAATATAAACATTTCTAAATATAAGAAAATGCAAGCTTTATTAAAGCGAAAGTCCGAAGGATATGTTGGAAAAAAGCAAAAATATTTTCACCTGAAGAAATAAAAACGTTTATCGACGAAGCACCCGATGAACGGTTTTTATTTTTAAAAGTAAGTATCTATCTAAATTTTTAAAAAAATTTCATGATTACATATTCCATTCGACTCATGCATGGTAGTTATATTTCATTAATTTCGAGCAAACATTTAAACCGAACTCGTGGCCGAACGGGTTAAGGCGCTTAATTTGAGCTAGACTACAGTATGAGATCCGGGTTCGAAACCAGCCTAGGTCATCCTACTTTTTTTTCTTTTTTCTTCTTTTTTCTTTTTTTTTCTTCTCTTTATTTATTATTGTTGTTTTTTTAGGTAGCAATGATTTTTGGAATAATGGGAGCATGTCGAAGGCATGAACTACATGACCTAAAATGTGAAAATGTCAAAGTTATGAATGGAATCTTAATTGTTAATGTGATAGAAACTAAAACAAAAGTACAACGAACATTTACAATTANACAATAAATGCGATAGTTATAAACAAATGAAGAATGGGCACTTTTCTTGTTTTTTTGCAATAACTTTTTTGTTTATTAACCGATTTTAATTTAACCAGTCTCATTTTGTAGATAAGCTGTCTGTGAGTCACTTTTTGCTAAAATTGATGGTTTTTCCTGCAAAGTGAAAAAACTGTTTTCCTCACTTATTTGTTTAAATAGAAAAGTTAGCTAATAAAAGTTTTTGACTCACGAGACGAGAGATGTCTTGTGTTCCTTTAGAAAATTTTCAATAATCTAGCGGATAGGTCTTTTTTCGAGTAAAAATTTAATTTGTTTGGTCTAGAAGGTAATCCAGAAAAAATATGCTTGTCCCCTAGTCCAATTGGACATAAAGCTTTGAACGAATTGCAGTTTCCTTAAAAGTTCTCAAATTAAATTCAATATGTACGAAAATTATTACCGTAATTTTTATTTTCGACTTCATATTGAGGAGTTCCAATCGCAATGTTTCCGCTAATGCTCTCACAGCGTATTTGCTGGCAGGATACACACCTATGCCCGGAAAATTGGGAACCTGGTGCCCCGCGATACTATTGATGTGGATTATGTGTCCGTCTACTTTGTTCGCCCTCATGTCTCTTACGGCTTCTCTAGTAGCTATGCACAAACCGAGAACGTTGATGTTAAAAACGTTTTTCCAAATTTCAGTGTCTCCATCCGTAAGATTTGTCTGACCAAGTATTCCAGCATTGTTGACGAGGATGTGGACTGGACCTAGGTTTTCCTTGACCCATTTGAAGGCGTTTAGAATGTCTTCTTCTTTGCTTACATCCGTTTTTACCGGATAGAGTTTGCCTTTTTTGCCGGAAAGTTTTTTGGCCAAAGCCTCCATGCGATCTAATCTTCGAGCTAACCCCACAACCTGAATAAATATAAAACAAACTATTATAAATTATTAAAAACTAATAGAAGGTATATTAAATGTTGAATGTTTGTTTCTTCACATATTTAATAAAATTATTGCATTAATTATAACAATTAAGTTGCCATTACAAAATATCAATGACAGCCGCCTACTAGATAAATTACCATGTAATGTATTTTACCTAAATAAATTATTTGCTCTGAAATCGTTAATTTTACGAAAAAATTACAAGAAACTTTTTTTGTTTGTGAATCGGGCTATCTGAAATGAATTTTTAAATGGTAAGGTAATAAGAAACAAGGTTACGTAAGAAACAAGTCTTAGTGGTGGCTTTTTCTACCCCTTACAACCATAGGGGAAAATCAACAAATTATTTACTGGGTGCCTTTTCAATATCAGAAAATGTCTATGTACTTAATTTAATTTCTGTAATTTTTTTGGTATTTCAGAAAAAAATTAAAAACTACTTTTTTGACACCCTCTGTAACCGGTTGTGTCTTCACAGGGACATCTCCTCAAATTACATTTTTTTATATGAACGACACCTTATTTTTCCACAGGGAATTACCCCTTGAATTTTTTCGCTCTTAATTATTTACGTAATGTATACAATTTATTTTATAAATTTTTTAGATTCATTAAAAATACAGGGTGAGTCAGAAAGAATGGGTCAACACTAAGCTGGAGATACTAGACACCAAATATTACGTTTGAGATCATTAGAGATATTTAAAAAAAATGTTTAAAAGTTTCTTATACGACTTCTCCGTAGAACATATGCCTATATTTTTAACGCCAATATACATCGGAATCGTTCATTTAAAAAGTTATTTTTTTTACATATGCACAATTTAAGAATGTTTGTCAAAAAAACGGTGATATTTTTTAATAGGTCGCTTATTTACGTCTTTGATTACAATGACGCTTTCAGGATCATGTTTGGTTGAAAATTAACGTCTGTACAGACGCTTAAAGTTCATAACTTTTGGAGCCTCCGTTATAAACAAATTGAATTGTGCGAAAATTATTGCACCTACAGCGCCCACTTTTGGCACACGTTTAAAGTATGACAAAACCCTCAACTTGTCATAGGTTTTATAAAATTTTAACAATATATGCGATAGTTATAAACAAATTTAAAAATGGGCACTTTTCTTGTTTTTTTGCAATAGCTTTTTTGTTTATTAACCGATTTTAATTTAACAAGTCTCATTTTATAGATAATTTTATTCCCTACAAGCTGTCTGTGAGTCACTTTTCGCTAAAATTGATGGTTTTCCCTGCAAAGTGAAAAAACTGTTTTTCTCACTTATTTGTTTAAATAGAAAAGTTAGCTAATAAATTTTTTTTACTCACGAGATGAGAGATGACTTGTATTATGTTCCTTTAGACAATTTTACAATAATTTCGCGGATAGGAATTTTTTCGAGTAAACATTTTATTTGCTTGGCCTATAGCAATATCAGCGCCTGAAAGAAAATCAGTAATCACCACAAAATAGATTGAAACTTTTAAATGCAAATATCACAGAAACCGATAAAGTTAGGCGACCTAAACAAGCGTAAATTTTTTATGTAGAATTAAACGTTCTTATAGATTTTTAATTTTTTTAAGTATAGCTCTACAGATAAAAAATATGTTTTGATTTTCCTAAATAGTACGGTGAAACTAGCGCCCTCTAGGAGCAACGTCAAAATAAGCTTCAAATTCGTAATTCTCACATCAAAAAACCCAGCACTACCAATTTTCAGAATCATAGTATCAAAACTTTCTCAGTTATTGAGAAATTTCAGAATAAAATTTAAACCTTGAACACCCTGTATTTCTTAAACCAGCTACATTCGTGTATAAGGCATGATGAGCTCAAACATAATATTTTGATGTATAGTATCTCCTGCTTAGTGTTAGCACATTCTTTCTGACTCGCCCTGTATATTCACGTTAAAAAAAATAAGCATATCACTATGTTCTACGGAAAAATCGTATAAGAAACTTTTGAATATTTTCTTTAATGTCTCTTGTAACAATTTAAGAGTAAATAAGAACCACTAAAAATAAGTTACATATTACAACTATGGAATTTTTGCCAGAATTAATCTATTCCCATGTAACTAACCTAAGTACCTACAAACATAAACAATGTAATCTACTTACTTTAAGTCCCTTTTCCACCAACGCCTCTGTAGTGGCAGCCCCAATGCCAGAACTGGCACCAGTGACAACAGCTACTTTGCCAATCCAACGATCCATAGACAGCACCATTGTAGCTTTTATTCAAATCACTTAACCACGACTGAGCGTTAAAATCGTTCCTGTCTATTTATATCGTCTAACACAGATTGGACATAGCGGTGGGATAATAACGATAAGATGTTAATCAGAATTATTTCATCTTGATTTATATCTCCGTCTACACTTGAATAGAATGATAAGCAGTTTTAGTGTGTTTCGCGTAGTCTAAAATTAGTCGTTTTATAAATTAATTAATTTCTAGAATTTACTGTTCAACCTATTGCTACTGCTACAGCTAATATGATGTCACATTTAAATATTATTGGAACTGTTCACGAAATATTGTGCAATACCTTTTTTAATGGGTTAAAAGATGATACGACTGTTAAAGCCAATCGAATTGTATTTATACGTAACACTGGTAGCACGAGAGATACATGATGTGGCATTTTTTCTGTCATAATAAGATTTCATGTTAAATTTTTATTTACAAATGCCACATTACTAAAATTTATAATATATGTTGCGTAATGAATAATGATGAAGAGTAAATATTTATATCTTAAAACTTATTATAATTGGACGCGCACCAAAGACGTGCAGATCATCAACGTAAAATAAGGTGAACAATGATTATAAGATTATATTATATGTCATTGTCATTGTGAAACACGTAAATTGTTATACGCATCGTTGCCATCGGTTTCACAATCTGGATGGATCCGTTATAGATCGCATCATCAGGTATGTTTCTAGCCTTGTTTCAGCGAAACTTATTCCCGCGGTGATAAAATATCTTAACCTGAAGAGAACGACGGTCGACATCTATTGATGTAATATTTGCAGAATTAAATAATCTACTTCCAAGCTAGTCCGACATGGTAATTTCCACTCGGGGTTGTATTTATTCCAGTAGAAATGAAGTGTTTAATTATTTACTATAACAGATGGTAGACTACATGCAATCAATATAGAGATTAAATCCAGGGCCCGAGAGCTTATACTTGAAAATATGGGGAAACTGGGAACCACGTGACTTGAGATGGATATACAAGTTGGGGAAAGAGTCAACAGATGTCGCCACAAAGATTTTGTAGAATAAATTTTGACAATTGCAATTATGAATCATTTCATGTCATTCATGTTGTTCATGTTTGTTGTTGGTTAGGTTTGGCGAGTGTTGGTGTGTGTTTTATTTGTGTTTTTAGTGTGTTTTATTAGATATTTCATTCACATTTATTTATATAACATAATAATGTCTGATCATCATATAATCACATTTTTTTATTAATAAAAAAATGTGATTATATGATGATCAGACATTATTATGTTATATAAATAAATGTGAATGAAATATCTAATAAAACACACTAAAAACACAAATAAAACACACACCAACACTCGCCAAACCTAACCAACAATAAACAATAAACATGAACAAGAATGACATGAAATGATTCATAATTGCAATTGTCAAAATTTATTCTACAAAATCTTTGTGGCGACATCTATAGACTCTTTCCCCAACTTGTATATCCATCTCAAGTCACGTGGTTCCCAGTGTCCCCATATTTTCAAGTATAAG